CGGGTCTAAGGGTTCGGCCCCCAGCCACAGGCAGGATCCCGCCACCCCCCGGACCTGCTCCAAGGGGCAGCACCCCCAGGCACCCGAGCTCAGCCGGCAGCACGTGCTCCCGTCGGGGCAGCTCTTCTCCTCGTCACACTTGACGTCACAAGCTAGGGACAGACAGATGGTCACAGCTGACCATTCCACGCTGACTGTGTCCCCCCACTCCCAAAGTTCACCAGGGCCAACGCGCTCTCTCCTGGAGGTGCCCATGGAGCCAGCGCCTCCCCGGCTATCCTGGCAGGTGGCACAGGGGACACCGTTACCTGCGGTGGGGGTTGTGGACAGGCGGGTAAGCAGCTTCACCCAGCCTTTCCCCGACGCGCACTTCGAACGCTCCAGGTCGCAGGTGGTGCCCTGTGGGCAGCAGTGCAGGTGGTCGCTGCAACACACGGCCTGCGCAGGGATAGCACGGCGCCCCATTGATGCCCACCTTGGCAGCCTCCAGGGTGCCCAGACCCAAATTTAGGCATAAATGGAACCGCTTGGGCAGTCCACCTATACATGCCTGTCGGGCATCTGCTCTGCCACCCCCAGACCTGTCACACCAGGACATGGGTGTCCCCTGCGGGGGCAAGTTTGCAGCCTCAGCTGGCACCTAAGGGTGCCAGGCAGGACACGCAGGGGAGCCCGTAAGGCCGCACTCACGTTTTGCAGCGGACAGCAGCCGTACTGGGCCGAGGGCAGCTGGCAGCAGGTAGTGCCGTCCGGACATGCTGACTGGCCATCGGGGCAGGTCACCTGGCTGAGTGCCACTGGGGAGAGGGGATACAGTGTCACCCACCGTCCCCTCTCCTCTTCCATGCCATGAGATCCCAGGATGGCTCCTTGCCACCCGCCACCACCCAGGCGGTCATGCCAGGGCAGCTCGTGGAGGGCAATGAACAGGTCTGGAGTTGGACCGTACCTGGTGCCGAGGGCTGGGACTGGCGCTTCCACGCAGGGAACTTGTTGCCAAGGGGGAGCTCACCAGTGGGTGTCAGGCAACGGCCGTGGGCCAGGTCACAGATGGTGGCATGGGGGCAGCAGTGCACCTTGTCCGCACAGCATGAGGCCTGTGGGCATGAGACCTGAGCAATTCGCTGCAGCAGTAGCTGCCACCCCACCCAGGGTGACTCCTGCCGTCTCCGAGCCCCTTTCAGGGCCTGATCTGGGAACCCCCCACAGCGGGATTGAGACCTCCCCCCCACCACCATACCTCAGGCATAGGGCAGCACCCCCAGGCGCCACTGGGCATCATGCAGCATGTGGAGTTGTCAGGGCACTCGGACTCGCCGTCGGGGCACTGGATGGCACCAAGAGCTGCAGAGAGCGGGGTAGGGATGGGTGCTGCTAAACAGCACCCTCAGGGAGGGCACAGGGGTGCCAACGCATCCCTTGGGGCACAAGACACCTGTCCGGCCCCAGCTCATGCCAACCCCTCACTACCTGGGTGGGCAAAGCAGAATTTGCTGTCAGCACTGCAGTGGGACCCTTGGGGACAGCAGTGGAGCCCACCAGCACAGGAGACACTCTGTGGGGAGAGCCATGGGTGGGCAGTTGGGGGCATAGCCAGCCCCCTGCTGCACCTCTGGATATGCCAGCAGGGAAACTGAGGCACAGATGGGCACCCACTGTGCTGGGGGCCCCGACACCCACCCTTACCTCTGCTAGTGGGCAGCAGCCAAAGGTGCCAGAGATGGTGGGCAGACAGCTGTACTCGGCAGGGCACCGTGACCCGTCCTGGCACACAGTCCCAGCCGAATCCCTCACGCTGTTTGCGGAAAACATGGGCAGGGACTGCAGGATGGTGAAACCAGGTCACCCGCGGGGTGAGGGCAGCCCTTTGCCCCCGCTCCGCGCGATGCCAGCCCAAGCCACTGTCCAGTGCTGAAGGGGGCACCCTGGGCTGCACAGTGGCTCTGCAGAGACCTGGCAAACACAGTGCATGCAAGCTGTGGGAGGTCCGGTGCCACAACCCACACTCACCGGAGCCACAGGGCATGGCTGCCCGTTGGGGCAGAGCAGTGAAGCAGCAGCTGCAGCCAGCCAGAGCCAACCACAGCAGCGTGAAGGTCCACATTGCGGAGAGGGCACCTACAAGGAGTCAGATGAGCCCTGCGCCCTCACCAGTTTCCCCACTTGCCCAAGAGGGCAATTCTTGTCGTCTCTTTGCCCAGGGAGCGCGGTGCCAGGCCAGCACCCCAGGATCTGATGCCTCATGGGGGGATGCCTGAGGTGAAGGAGGGCCCTGGAAGGTACTGCTACCTCTTGCTTCCCCTTTCAGCAGGGCCACGGGAAAACCCCGTCCCTTCTCTCACTCACGCCGGCTGCACCCCACAGCGCCCAGTAGCCACTAGGCTAGCCGAATGATGCCACCCTGATGGGCAGCGGGTACGGCAACGCCACCCGCGGCCGGGG